TGCTTAACTATCTAACATGCATATCTTGTCAACGAATTTTTTTTTTTTTTAATTTTAAGTTTTCCACATCGAGTCATTAATGTTTTATGTGTAAAATCTATTTTTTATCAGGTACTTTAAAATGGAATTCGTTGGTGAATTTGATGGTTGACTTTAATGTAAAACTAACAAAAAGGGAGGTTTCCAACCCCTCATATTCTACAAAACTTCTTACTCACCCCTAAAAGTATTTCTTTCCCAAAAAATCAAAGCCAACAAAAGCAAACATTTGTTGTTACCATGTTTAAGCACTTTTTTTTTCAAATATATGATGAAAACGCTAAAAGAAAAACTTTTTTTGAAGCCCATGGGCCCCAACTCTATCATAGTGTATATATAAAATAAGTTTGACCATGATCATATTGTTGAAGTTTTCGTTGATCTTCATAGTGACTTTGAAGCTTGTGGCATCAATAATTATTTTGTTGTTACTAAAGAACTAGTTTATCTTGATCTGGTTGGAGATTTATGGAACACACTAGAGTTTAGTCATAATGAAATCACTAGAACGATGTGAGGAAAAACTATGAGGGTGAACATGGTAGAAATCGCTACTATAACTTGGTCTTTAGATGAAGGTATTAAGATATATAAGGAATGTGAAGATGATGCTTGTGGAATGGATGTTGTAAATGAAGTGTTGCAAGATGTTACATCTAGGAATAAGGTTGTTGAGATGTATGATTAGATTCGCTTCAACAATATGTTGAATAAGGGAACCCTCCACAATGATGGTTCTAAGGATTCTATCACTTAGGCTTGCAAGTTTGCAATGTATATGTTTGAAATTGCTTAAGCCAATAATCTTTGAACATTTTCTATGTATGAACTTGTTGAGAAACATGAAAAAGGAAAAGCAATCCCAAAGAGGCTATTACCTACTTTCTTCTTCTTGTAATTAAAGCATTGATGTCATCTTTAATGAGCTATCTAATGAAACACACTAGAAATGTTCTCTCTTACTGAAACAAGTTTAATTAGAGCATCATAATTTGATCTATATTAGCTTGTCTTTATTCATCTTACTCTACCATTTGTCTAGATTGAGTATCCTCGTAATGAAGAGTATCTCAAAATGCCTCACATCAAGTTCCTTACATCTAGAAAGATTAAAAAGCACGGACCTATGTTCGTGACTCTTGCTTAGGTGCCCCTAATTAGACTTGATTTATCTAGGTTGATTCCATCTTGGATGCTAACAACAATTATGCTTGGAGTCATTCAGAACATGAGACTAGCACTACTAGTTCTTCTAGTTGCTATTGATGAAGAGAAAGAGGTGCTAGCATGGTTTCCATTATTTATTTATGGTGCAAGTTTGCAGTTTAGGCCTCTAGACCCCCTAAAAGATGGGTTCTTCCCTAATTGCAATAATTTAGGGAGTCTTTATTGAAGAATCACTTGCACATCCCTTTTTCTATACATGTACATTAAACAATCTATTTCTCTTAGGATCATGCTTGATAGATGTTTCCTCAGGATGCCCTTGATTGATTTGAATAAGATGATAGATAAGATTGTTCCTAAGCATGTTCCCAATGTGGCATCTGTGGAGTTGTCCACTCACCCTAATTAGTACAATCCATTTTGGCATAAATACTATGTACAAAAAGGAGCACCATTCAACAATGTAGATGCTCAACATACATGGAAACAACATATGTGGAGTTGTACCTAAGAACACTCAAGTATTTGTTTAAGCCATGAAGGGAAGAAGACAAGAAGAGTCCATATTATATAGTTTGCATTGAGTCTTGCTAGGTTTATTCAACTATCATCCAAGGTGCTTATAAAGACAAGTGGAAGTGGTTTCCCTTTTAGTTTTGAAGTTTACTGGTAACGTTATTCTTAATAAGAAAACCCAATTTTCTATACCATGGAACATAATTCCACTTGTAGATGTTCTTTTAATGTTTCCTATAGCACAACCACCTCTTGACGCTCCTTTGGTGTCTACTTTGACTGCCCTTCTTTTCACTATTGTTACCACCCTTAATAGAGGGTCCACAATGTTCATATGTTAATCCAGTTACCAGAAGGCTAGCCCCTCTACTTTTAAATTTTACATCGAGGATAATGTAATATTTAAAGTTTGGGATATGATAGTCATGCATTTGCATTCCATTTTTTTTTTGCATATTTCATATTTATGCTAGTTACATAAGTAATAATGTTTTGAGTTGCATTAAAAGCATTAAATAATCCCAATTAATTTGTGTGCATATATAAATTCATTACTCATTTTATTATGCTTGCAACATGATATATGTGTGTGTATGGAAGTCTTTAGGCAAATTAAAAAAATTAACATACTCCCTCAAACTTTAATATTTTTGCATTTGATGAAAGCTAAACAAAATGATAGAATTGAGCCTATAAGGGTTGTTTTTAATTGTATTTGTGTCCTACTTCTTTGCTTGAGGACATCTTCCTGGAAATTCTATCTTTTAGAGCTTGTCTTGAATATTGTTGAGGCTATATTTTCTTAATAAATAAATACATTCCTTAAAAATAGATTTGAATACTAACCAATAGTTATTTTCATTATGCCTTACATTTTAAGAATTATCTTGGTCTTATTATTTTTGTTGATATTTCTTGGTGCCCTATGGACAACACATTGACAACTTTGAAATGAAAATGGGGTAATGCGTGTTTGAAAAAAAGTTTGAATAAAAACATAAAATAGAAAGAAAACAAGATAGAAAAACAAAAAAAAAAAAAGTGAAAAAGTTGGTGGAATAAGAAGAAGAAATTATAAAATGGCCAAAAAAGGAAAATGAAGAAAGTAAAATATGAAATGTACCCTTTTTACTACAAATCGATTTGATTTGCTAAGGTTTATTATGTTTGAGTTCAAAGAATGTTTAAAATTGTTGAAGCTATTTTTATTTCCTTCAATTCTATACCATAATGTTTCTCCTAGGCTACATTACAACCAAATGAAAGTACATATTAGTGGAGATGATGTTTCTAACCCAACCTGTGGTAGGGCACTTTGATTAAGGAAGTTGAGTGCAATGTCTAGTCCCTAAAATCTTTGAGTAAAGAAAAATGAAAGAACTAGTTTGTGTGAGGATTGATTTTGGAGACTTGAGAATCTTATTGTACTTGATTGAGATCATTGATATTAGGAACTATTAATATGCTACATGTACTTGTATTCTCTAGATTTTCCAAATAATTAATGAATTTCATCTTAATCACCACAGTTGTTGCTTGAAGACAAGTAAGTTTTATGTTTGAGTAGGGGTGAGTGCATATTTGTAGAACTTAGAGAGAATGGGAGAAAATTAAGTCACCTATTGTTTAAGTGAAATGATAAGGATGGGAGTTATGAGTGAGATGAAAATGCGAGTGCAAATTTGAGTAGTTTATAGTTTTTTTTTAAAAACATTTCAGGATACATTTCCTTTTGGACATAATTGATCATTAGAATTAAGGGATAATCAAGATCAAATTTACAAATCAACAAAATTTCTTTATTTCAGGCCATTTTTTTTGGGTATTCAAGGATTAAAATGGAATAAAATAAAATGGTCAACATCAATTGAATACTTTAACAATTAAATTTTTTTTATACTATTTCAAAGTAGATGGAATTTTCAAGATATTACATAATTAATATTTAATAACTAATGTGATTTATTAAATAATATTTAATATATTTATAATTAATATAACTAGTATTTAAATGTTTATTTTATAACTATAATTTTTCTAAATAAATATTTTTTAATATATAAATTATTTTATAAATAAAAATCATAATAAATAAATATTTCTAAATATATAAATTATATTTTAGATTGATGGTAAACAATTTATATTGTAATATAAAATTATTTTTAATTATTGGTAATTTTAAAAAAAAAAATTATTGACATTCAATGTAAAACTAAAAATATAAAAAAAAATCAAAAAGGATGAGAGACCAAAAAAATCCTAAAAACACTATTGTTTAAGATAACTATTCTACTTTAAATATAGAGTGAGATTAGAATAATTAGTTATATAATAATGAAATAATCTAAAAAGAATATTAATAAAACATTTTTCCCTTCCAATAGAATGATTTGTTTATCGACAATTTTTCATTAGAATTTGATAGTATTATGTTATACATAGTTATAGGTAAGTAATTATATACTTTATTCATCTATAACTCGAAAACTTATATACAAACTATTTGTCACTAATCAATGACGATTTTATCCTTTAACTTTCAGAAAAAGTTGTCTCTATGTCTCGTTCTAATTAATATGATTTTGTTAGTGATTTGTTAAAGAAGTTGTGTTACTAGCAACTGTGTGGCTATTAACGAGTTTTAGTCATAGAAAATAATTATTTTACTTGTAGTAGTATAAACTTATTAATTTATTTTATACTTGTTTTAATAAGTTTTGAAGTCAAACTTTTAAATAATCTTTGGTTTTACAAATTATTATTTCATAAGTGTATCAATAATTTTTTTCCCCTCAAACTACTCTCGATATATTTACTATTTTATACTACTATATGGTCAAATTTTGAATCCAATCTCCATTGCCAATGTTACATCACTTTTGAAACATTGTGTTTAAATAAAACTCACAACAAAATTTTACACAAATCAAAATGAGATGAAAAACAAATTATATATAAAATGCAAAGGATATGATTTTACTTTACATTTCATCACAAAATTATATATCATAATGCAATAGGTAAGGTAAACATTAAATAATAAAAACGCATTATTAATCAAGAAAGATAGTAAAGAAAATACACCAACAACAAATGACAAACGAAAACAACAAAAACTATAGGCAAAGCAAATGTATTCAACATGATCTTAAATCATTGTTGTAACATTTGTTATTGCCTTGTTATTGTTGAAACTACATGTGGTTACACTTATTGTTACGACATACATTTAAAGACTGAATATTGAAGGATAAATTTGGCCTTAAGGATGAAATTTATATGTTCCTAGTGTACTGATTTCCTAGAAGGCCATTAAGTGCAGAACGAGCCATGGTGGCTCTACCAGCTACATCAAGTGAAGGAACTTGATTATGATCATCACCAAATCCAACATCCCTACGATAAATGTTCTGTGGATTTTCAGCAGTTACACCCCATGTGTTGGTCATCCCAAATCGCTGCTCGATGATGGATGTGTTGTTCAACCCTTGGTTTCCATAACTAGGTACAAAATGAGGCCATGGCATGGTTGACATGTGAGCCATGGGATGCAAGTTAGCCCCATAATAAAAGGGAATTGGGCCACGAAAGGGATGGGGATGTGGCATGGATGAGTATGGAAACATTTGAGCACCAGGTCCAAAAGTTCCCATCTCAATTTCTTTATCCATCCTAGAGAGCACTCTTTCACGCCTATGAGCATTTTGGTGTCCCCCTAGAGCTTGAGAGGTTGGAAATTTCTTATCGCAAAACTTGCAGGAAAACTGGCGTTGCTTAGGAAAGACCACTTGATGATTGGTGTTTTCCATAACTTTTTGAGAAAAACTTGGTGAATCCTTACAATTTTTCAATGGTTTACTAAAGATCTTGGAGGAAGATTCATTAACTTTTTTGTTATTGCCAAGACTTAGAGACAATACCAATTCTGAATCTACAACATCATTTGAAGAAGTTTCCTCAATCTTACGCTTAAGCTTTCTACTCTCAACACCTCCAACCAAGAGTTCTTCCGACATTATGTGATAAACTACCCTCCAAAGATGTATAATTGCTATGAATTTTTTTTTGGTGTTATGTGATTATGAAGAAGGGGTATTTATTAAGATAAAATAAAAGTAACATCTTTTATAAAAGGAAATATGTATGGGGTAGAAGACTTATGAAACGTTATTAGGAAAAATAATTAATTATAAGATAAAAAACATAATAAAGGACCTTGAAATGTCAAACTTAAGGATACACTACAAGAAATGTTACATATAGTGACATATAAAAAGTGTTACTATAGATGTAATTTATGTTGGTTTAAATATATTTGACATATAAGTACACACAAGTTTAGGGTTGATTTTAAATGAGATTCAACAATATATATTGTGTATCAGTATAGCTTATACCTACATTTTTAATAATATGCCAACATATATTGTATGTATAATGTAGGTAAAAGTAGTTTTTAGTCACAAATATAGTGTCACTACATGAATATTCTTTTTGTAGTGCACGTGATTGAAAATTCGTGCAACAAGTTATTAATTAGACTAATATTTTTTGGTCCATATGAAATTCAATTTTGTTTTTCTATTTGGTCCACTAATTTTCTTTTGTATATTTATGTCTTCGTTAATTTCTTTCACTTTTAGTCCCTAATAATAGGGCTCTTTATTATTTATGACATGACTATCAAACGTTAGAAAACAAAACAGATGTTGCATAAATAATAGGAACTAAAATATAAATCTTCAAATGGAAGATGTACTTATATTAAGAGTTTATAGTTTTATAGGGACAAAAGAATGAGATAAATAGAATTGGTACAATGTTAAAGGCTAAAGTAAGAAAATAACATGAACTCAAATAAGCAAGAAAATTTAGGGGAACAAAATGAAAAAAAAAATATTTTATAATATGTTTAATTATAAATTACTTTTTATTTTTTTTGCTACAAGATATAACAACCTAAACATTTTAAGAATTTTTAATTGTTTATGTTTATGTCTTTATAATTTGTTCTATGTATGCATTGTCTTTCAAGTACGTAGCTACGAAAGTTTTTTTTTTTTTTTTCTTGAACCATTTGTATCTCTAACATCGAACCATGCCTAGTTTAAGTCAAAACTAATGGACATATTTAAGAAGGTAAAACTCTTTTAATGTTTACTTTTAATTCACGAGATTTGAAGTTGAGGCTTTGCTCAAAAGAAATTGACTCTCTTATTGTTTGAACCATAAGATTCTTAGTGTACAAATCATTAAATAATTTAATACAGCAATGATAAAATAATGTAACTAATGTTGCATTTAGAATTTATTATACATCCTTAGTTTACTATGAATTATGATTTTTTTAAGAATATTTCATTCCTATGCATTGAATTTGTAGCAATCTCTTTCAAAGAAGCATTAAATTAAATTATAGCTAGAAAAAATACAATTGTTATATAGTCTTGATTACAAAGTAGTCTACAAACTCATGACCAAACAAATATATAATATTGATTGATTACCACTATTAGTTTAGACTAACAAACACATTGATGTAAATGAGTATATGACATATAACATAGTAAAAGAATAGTCAATTCAAACTTGACTTTTTATCCCTTATCTTTATCATAACATTTAATTAATGTATTAAAATTTCTTTTAATTTAGTCTATTGGTAGAAATAAATTATATTATTTTTAGTTCTGGTTTTTAAAAATGCATTTATTCAATTTATCTATTAACTATGTTAATTTGACTAAAGATTGACCTTATTGTTCAAATAAATGCGTTTCATATTTTAACTACCGAAAAGTCTCAAATTGAAAATTTGAACCAATATTAAGAGAATTCATTCATTCCTCTATATGAGTTATATCTCCAAAAGGAATCTATCTTTAACATTTTTTTTTATGAATAGTCTCAATTCATGTATTTTTTTTAACAAATAGACACCTTAAACATTTGAAAACAGTTAAGGTGATTTAGACCTATGTAATGTTTGTTAAGAGATAAGTACATGATTTAAGCTTGATATCATCATGTACAAATTGACAAATTAACAAGAAAGGATTTGAACTTAGATATAAGACTCAACGTAAACTTTTTATTTTTATTTTTGGAGAAACAACTAAACATAGTTTTAAGTTGGACATAAATTTGGTCATCTTATAACACAAATACTTATCTAAATTCAAGTTTATGTATGGTTCATATTTTTTAAAACCAAATTAAATTTATTTTATGGGTAGGTACTTAAATAAATCATTTTATAATTTGACAAAGTATTCTTTTTAATAATCGTTTTGATGTTTTAGTTAAAACTATTAATTTATAAACTTGTTATTGTATTTTGAAAATTAAATAAATATACAAAATAAGGATATATTTGGTAAAATTTTAATTTTATATCCAATTATCTTCATTGAATTTTATACCCAATTATCATAATTTTATAAAAGTATATGAATGTAAAATAATTTAAATTTATTAATTTATTAATCAATTTATAAATATAATGATAATTATTTTAAAATTATTAGTATTAATTTATCAATATTATTATTAATACTAATATATATATATATATATATATATAATTTACTTAGTAGTAGAAAATATATGTTCAATTTTCATCCCTATTTAAGTTACAATTGTTTTTAAGTAGAAGTAAATTTATGTTATTTTATACATGAATGAAAATATTATATTTATAGTTTAAATATGTCAACAATTATAAAAGTTTAAGATTTAATGTATTAGTTGCGTGACTACTAAACTTTTTGAAATTTAATTATGTTCCTTAAACTAAGAAAATTGTAGTTAGGTTTTTCATTTTTTACATTTTTGTAATTGGATTCTTAGAGTTAGTAAAACTATCATAAATTTTTATTTTGTGGGGACTTCAAGTCAACATAAATTAATTTCAAGTACCCAATTACAAAAATTATAGAAGATCAAGAATTGACTAGGGAGTCACTAATGCATTAGACTTATACTTTTAGAATATTAAGAAAATAGCAATACAATAATAAAACAATACTATTATTAGATTAATTATAATTATTTAAACAGGTCAATGTGTTATACTCATAAGTTTCGTCTAATAATTCATGTCATAATCTTTTTAGTTAGATAACATTTGTGTTGAAACTTATGTGTTCATATCCTGAGATAGTGTTTTGACAAAAATTCAATATATTAAAATATTGATACAAAAGCTTTATGGAATATCTTTAGCAAAATCATGTTTGGTTAAATGAAGTAATCAAATATTATCTTTTAAATGATCTATTACAAAGGCAATGTGAAGGACGATGTAAGAGAAATGAGCTTGTTGTGAAGTTAGAAGGTCTAAGTTCCTTTTTAGCTATAAGTTAATTACTTAGTCTATTTTCTCTTTGTGTATATTTTTTCTTGTAAATAATTTCCGTATTTTTGACCTTGTATTTATGGCCAAGCAATGTAGAAATGTGGCCTTCTTCTACCCTAAATGATTTAATAAATAAATATAACAAAATTTTTGGAAAATAAAAACAACAACTTATAATAACTCTCCTCATGGAATATTGTAAAAGGGTTAACATCTTTATTCATCATTTAAAATAAAACATATAAAGCATTATTTCAAAAGAAATAAGAACAATCTTTTAAATCAATAAATTTCTTGTAATAAAATACACTTAAATAAAGTTCAACTACTAATCTTAAAACTTAGCCCCAACGTCACACTATTAGAGCAAGATCCTTCTTTAAAATTATCTTTCCTCAAACCCATCATCCTATACGTGCTCTATTCCTGTAAATGGTGTTCAGTCCAAACGCAAATAACGGGACTAAGAGTACATATCATTCACAAGAGTATATACAAAGCATAAGGATAGAAACATACACACAAATCAAACAACAATTACAACTCATACACCTTCATCAATTCTCTCATTATATTAATAACAATTTAATATATCACATCCCATCTATCACCATCATTCCATCATTCACACACAACATATTCATCAATTGAGACTCATGAGATGTATGCTCATAACTCTACATGCATGTTGTACCAATCATCGCATCATCGTCAAGTGTACAAAATAGCCTAAGGGTAATGGAAAGGGACCACCCCATCGAATAGTATAGGGACCACTCTACAACAATGATCTCCTACGAACCATCACACTAAGGGATGTTTATTAGAGTCCTATTAAAGTGTTACATTTGGCTATAGTAGCCTCCCATTCCCTATAGAGGTTTTCCTACCATAACATCCCCTGGGGCATAGTTAGATGACCTATGATATCCCACTTGTATAAACTCACACTATCCCACAAAACAAAGTTTGTATGCATAGACTCCATACATTTAACACAACAACATAATATGCATACTCAACTCCTCGAGTGCTAGTCTTTAGCATTGTACTTATCCATCATATTTCATCACATTACTCATATAGACATCAGGTTTTTTTTCAGGATATTCCTACAAGTGTCGACAGACTTCTGAAGCAAGAAGAGCAGCCTTGGATGATCGAGGGAGGCACGGAAGTAGGCTAAGATGGAGTTGGAAAATCCGGAAGATAATTTTACACGAGAAAGAGCCAAAACCCTAATTTAGGCTTGGAACAACCATTCCTACCATTGGAATGGTCGTTCCCAACAGAATTTTCAATGTAAAATTTACAAGCTAGAATGACCATTCCCAAAACCCTAATCATGTGTAAAAGTGAGGCGTGAAATGATCGTTCGAGTGTTGGGAATGACTGTTCCCCTTCCCTAGGTGCCTATAAAAGTGTGTCCAGGGCTGGTTCTCCAAAACATAGTGGACGAACAAAATTCTTTTCCTTTCTCTAAAATTTCTAAGTGATAGTGAGGTCTTTATAGAGCGAAAGACTGCCAAAAAGTTTCCATGTACGAATTTGTGAAGAGATTTATAAAAGCTTGCTTTGGAGGTTCTAAACTCTTTCTCTTCCTTTTTCCCTTTCTTTATTTTCTTTATTTATAGCTCTACCTGCATGCTATAGATTGGG